GAAAATATTGAATGACAGAGGTGATCATTTTGTGAACTACATTAATCTACAAATGATATTGTGTTTTTGTCTTATTTTTCCAGGTGAGTTCATTCAAAAGAATAGTGATCATTTGGTGAGGTATACCACGTGATGTGATGGGCATTCATAGGACCCATGGTCTTAAAAAGTGTGTGGTAGTGGAAATATGCCTGCAAGTTGTGAATTTGTTCTCTCAGGATCCAGTGCTGTTTTGAGTTGGTGTGTCTTGGTCTGAGGAAATCTTGTATCTGAAGGTGAGCATCGATACATACCACAACTCAACTTTCTCACCAACAGAAATTGGAACTATAAAAGATATTACCTCATTCACCTTGTCTCTATCATGGGATTCACACGATAAAGAGATAAAACTGCATTTTTCATTTTGGTTTTCCATTATTTTGCAGTAAAAGAAACAAGTAGTAAGAGCTGGCATACCATTTCTTGTTTTCCTGGACCGTTAATTTTTAAAATAAAATATCTTGGCATCCAACACTTTTAAATTTCCCTTTTCAACCTCCACAAAAAATTAACACTGGACTAGTAATATCCCTACTCAGTTATCACCCCAATTTGAGTTTGATAGCATATTTTTATCTTTTTCATACACAAAACAAAATAATCCTAGAAGGAAAATTGTCTTACCTAGAAGAAAAAACACTTTATATTACATACAGTTTTACTGCCTCTTTAAAATATTTACAGTAAGGCATAAGAAACTTTTAATACTCCCTTGATCTTCTCTAAAACCTTAAAAGATGCAGCATTCCAACCTTTTATTAATATAATAGATGCTTCCTAAAATAAATCTTACTACCCACATTTGGATATTATGAAAATAAAAACCAATAGTGTTTTTCCAGTTTTTGGTATTGTTAACAGGATAATCTATCCCACATATGCACTAGGTTACATTATAAATATGGGATTTGCATTACTTGCCTTGAAATTTATAATAAACTTATATCTTGACATATTCCAAGCTTCTAATAACCCATGGACCATGTTCAAATTCTATTTTAAGGATATGGATATCATAATTACGAAGGCCTCAAAATAATAGTTTTCAGATAGTTCTTAAAGACTTATCCCTTCTAGGCAAAAAATGCACTAAATCTTATCATTGTATTATTTGTAATGTCACATCAGTAGCTAATATAGTTAGAATTACTATCAGAAGACCACTATCATAATGCATTGTATTATATTTTTATTTATTATTATTATATTTTAACATGCTTGAGATTGTTGGCATATTCCATTATAGGTAAAAATTGAAATGTAAAAACAAAAACAATCATTGGATAAAATTAATGTGATTTTCCATTGACTTCAATGGTGTCAGGTCTTAGAGGAGAATAGAAATTGCCATACCAATGAAAAGACTGGATCTTAAAATACCAAATTCATTCAGGATAAAAAAAATGCATACAAATATTTCACCAAACTAATTCAATCATCTGACAAAATCATAACTGTTTATCATTCCTCTGATATATTTGGGAGAAAGGCCCTGCCAGGTTATCAGAAGCTGCCTGGACTTATTTAAAGTGATGTCAGTATGCTGAAAAGCACTATGTTGCTTTTTTCTCTATGCAGTGTTGATCTGTCATTTTAATCAACTCTTTGGAACTAATCAGAGGCTAAAGCGATGACAGGCTTAGTTGCTGAAAAATTGTAAACCTTTAATTTAGAGTGACTATTTACAACAACTGAAGCAGGAATTATTATAAAAAGTGTTCTCATTGGTACCTCATCCAGCACTTTTTCTAAAGTCTGCAGCAACACCGGTACCAATGTCTAACTGGAGCTACCACTGACTCACACAATTTGCCACTCACTGCAAACTGTGAGAGCAACTGAGAGCAACCATTTATATTCATAAATTAGACATGAAACTTATGTAACTGTTAAAAGAAGATGCTTGTCTGTTTCCCAAAATGTAGCAGAAAGTTGATTCCTGGGGCTCCTTTTTTAAAACAGAATTTTGATTTTGTCTTGAGACCTCTAGGAACCCTCAAAAATTGCTGAAGCTTATAGGTCTGTCTTGTGTCAGTTTCAACTAGGCTGAACCAAGACCTCCCTTTAGCAAGATTGATAGTCCATGCTCTGCCATGCAGACAAGAAATGGAGATTAAGGGGAGTCTGCTGGGCCCCATTCAGACTGTGATTCCCAATATAGGTGCAAGAGCACAAACCACTTGCCTGATATTTCCTTCTGCAATCCACTGGACAGGGAAGAAATGTGGAATGGTAAGTAATGAGCGGAGACTTGGTTGTGACCGTCCTCCACATAGAAAGGAGTAAGAAGCTCCACAAAAAGAGGTGACATAACTTACTCCCTCTCCATGTAAACAGGAATGAATTGTAATTCTCAGCGGTCACAATTTGTTTTCTAGTCTGCTCCTTTGGTGTGGCAGCTATAGAGCTCCCATTATGAAGGGCTGACTGTAAAAAAAGTAGAAGCCACTAAGCTACCAATGATTCTAAAGCCCAGACGTTAGGCGTTCAGAAAGGATGCAGAAATAAGTGGAGCTATGGTGAAAATTACCTCAAGGATCATGCAGATCCATGAGGACATGTACTTGGCCCACACCACCATTGTTTCTTGTTCATAATGTGAAGTGCGTGGTATATCAAGAGATGGGATCTATACAGACAAATCTCAATGGAGCATTCAAGGGAGTTAATCTCCAGATTCTTCTGTGAGATAAACATCCAATTCTATATTTCCTCCCCCATATATAAGAAAACATAAAACATTTAAAAAAACTAAATTATAAACCCATATTCCAAGCAATAATTCATTCACAAAAGCTATTTGATCTCTAACTCTTAAAACCTGTAAATTATGTTTCACACATTGTTTTCAGAGCTATTCACTGCAATAGCCCCTTATGAGAGCTCATAAGCAGTCTAGTATGGTAAAGGAACTGCAGATAAAACTATTCTCAAACTATACAACCATTTGTTATGCAGTGGACACCAAAAGCTGAGTAAGAAAATAGCAGTTGGATTAATTAGAACAGCAAGATGCTGAATTAATATAGGTTTACAAATATGTTATCAATCTCCTTTGGGTTATGAACAGCAAAAAATGTTCTTGTAGTTGAAGAAATTTGCTTTGGATAAGTGCTGAAGATTATAGGCCTGGCTTGTGTCTGTTTTGTTACTTGTGATTAAAACAGGGTTAGTCAATACATGACAGGCATCCAAACTTCTTTGCTACATTTCAGATGTTATAGATCTTTGTTACCAAAACATAAATCTGGTGCTGATTTCCATGCTCATTAATATAAAACCTGGAACTTGTACTTTTTTAAAAAACAAATGGTGGTTCAAGAAACAAAATTAAAGTGTAACCGTATAAGTAAAAGTTATATGTTATTACCATGTGAGGGGGTGAGATGTTGCTGACACAAAATGAAATCTGAAAGGTTTGAGGACTTCCTCTTCTCTCAATCTAAATCAAGTCATATCACCAGGCACTTTACTCTGGTATTTAATGTCACAGAATCAAAAAATCATGAATTTTTCATACCCACATCTACCACAAATCATGAAACAATACCCTCTCAACAAGTACTTACATTAATATTTTGGATCTATTTAATTAAGTCTTTAAAAGTTTAGAAGTCTGTGGAATTTTTCACTTTTAGATAAATGGACAATTTGTTAGTAAAATTACCTTAGAAATATTCTATGGGATATACATGCCACTTACAAATCATGCCTGGAACCTTAACACAAGATCCAGACTTTTTAAATATTCCTGTGACCACATCAAAATTCAAGGGTCATTAACTAATTAGCTTCCCAGTCCCAGTGATGGGAACCATATGATTTCTCATAAGATTTTAGCAGCTAAATGTAAGAAGCTCTAAAATAAGGAAAGAAAATGGCTGCCGACTTCTCTTTAATCCTTCAATTAAAATGCACTTTAGCATTTATTAAAGTCAGAATCCCAGAATAATCTGCTAAATCAGTGTTGTTCATACACACCATATGACGAATACTATGATTCCCTCCTCCCCAATCCTGTTGACATTTCCATTTTCACTCCTATGTCATTTACAGATGCAGAAACACAATGGTGGCTTTGAATTTTAAAGAAATACAGGTCAGATTAGAGTCTTCTTCCTGTTGATGAGATCTTTACAGACTGGAAAAGTCTGCAGAATAAAAATGAGTAGTGCTAACTACAAAACTAAAATGGATCCCTCCTTTCTTAAATTTTCAGGCATTTCAATGTGAGTGTGGTATCTCTTTTGTATCTTTTTATTTAATATTGTACCTTTTATGAAGTTTCAGACAAGGAAATATTTCTATTTTGAGAGACAATGTAGTACTGCATTTTGGGTTCCTGTAATTACTTATTTGGAAACTTGAACACAATTGTTTCCTTTATTGGCTCAGTTTGAAGAGAGCTCATTCAGCATTCACTGCTAAAGGTCTATACTAACAAAAAGTACTTCATATAAGCTACATGCAGTATAAGTACTACCATATTGAACAGCATGCTATTTCAATGAGTTGTATATGCTTTTGAAATACTTCAGATGTTTTCAGTGCTCATCTCTGCCTGAGGCTGAAACTATCTAAGGAAAAGCTGTCAAGAAGAGTTTGGATTAACTGAGAAAACTGTACATACAAAGAATGAATGGATGAGAAAATTAGGACACTCACAAGAATTTACTTTCACAGTTCCTGCTCTGTGATCCATTACCCAAATTCAGATCTCTTATAAGCAGATCTTTACCTCTCACATAGTTGATAGTCTAAATACAGCTTCTTCCAGCTCATATTATGAATGGCATGCCTAATGTACCATATGTGAAGCTCTTTAAAAAGAAAGCACTTAAAAAAACCCACAAACACAAATGAAAAAAATAGGCACACTTATCTAATTGTTTTTATGAATGGGATTCACATAATAAATGTATTATAATTATAGAATTATGTGTTCACATGCTACTTACAGCCTTCATAAATATCTGTTGGTATGTGAACTGCTGCATGCTGGTAAGATATCTGTCTCCTAAAAACAGCATCTTCTTCAAACACAGGTCTGATTTTCTGGCTTCCAGTTTCAGTCTCATTCTTTTCAGGCTTTATAAGGAAAGACATTCAAAGGACAACATATTAAAATTTATGTTAAGAACAATTTAATTCATATTTGCCTCTTGGCACAGAATAGACTCATAATCTTTCTCTACTAGCTAGGTCAGAGTGTCTGTCTGTCTGTCTCTCTCTCTCTCACACACACACGTTGGTTTAAACCAAGAGATGTCCCATTAAAGTCAATGGAATTAAAGCTGATAGAAGAAAAAGGTGAATGCAGTACTACACATCCAGATGCATATTTAATACACACACACACACACACACACACACACACAGACACACACACACACACAATGCAAGAGCATTTAATCTTACAGCATGGTAATGATTCATAATCAATTAGCGCTACAAGCTCATTCTAGAGCTGTAGGTGGGAAAGTATAAATATGATTTATTTCCACATTCCTATTAGAAAATTATCTTGCAGATTGGAAATCCTAAATTGCTACAATGTACATTTCATATATAGATTTTACATAAACTGCTCATTTAGCCTATAACAAGAGGCAAAAGGAAAGGAACATGATATAAATAAGAGTCCTGTTACAGTATTTTATCATAAGTTAACTATTTGGAACAGCAATAATACATATTATAATAAAGTATCACTGTATAGTCATGTTAATATTATACATGAAGACACTGAGGGTACGTCTACACTGCGTGGCTATTTCGGGATACCGGAGGTACCCTACATCTTAACAAGCCATCCATTTCTCAAAATAATGAGCATGCTATTTCATCATCCTGGTAACCCTTGTTATTTTGAAATTTGGTACTGTGTACAGGTTCCACATTTTGAAATAGCCTATTTCAAAATTCAATCTAAATAAGATACGCAGTTTGCATAGGGCAAATTGCGTATCTTATTTCAAATTTATGGTACTGTTCAGACACCCTGATTTTGTAAGATGGATTATGTTTTGAAGAACAATACAGATTTTAACCAAACATAACTGTCTTATAGAGTATTAATGATGTATTTCTACGCTGTTCATCTTTAATCACAGACAACCAAATATCAAGGCAACCACAGGATTGTTTTGATTGAAATATCGTTTCTTTAGCTGTCCTGCCATTTGTCCTATTGCAGTACTAGGTAAAGGTTTGATCCCAGATCCCATAATAAAGAGTAGTGTTAATGTTTCACTGCCCCAGTGGAAGAGCTGGGAGGTACTGTACTTGGGAAGACAGGATGCCTGCCAGAGCTCCAGGGAGCAAGAGAGTCTGGTCAGCCCCATACTATTTTTATGGCATGAAACAGAGTCTCTGAAAAGCCAGGTCTGCTGACCAGAGCAGAAAAACAGCCATGTTCTTGCCTCTTTCACTTACTCCCTTTGTAGCACAGTAGTCCTAAGACCCACCAGGTGAAGCGTGCATGAGTCTGATTGTTTTTCTTCAGGCACTCCAAGCACATCAGGAGGTACCTAACACTCCTGTTCCACCTGGGTATCTTCATAAATCCGCATTAGAATTTAAGTGTAATCTTCAGCTCCCATTTAAGACCAGATGTGTACATGTTCACATTGGTGAGCACCTGACCTCAGGCCAATATCAGCAACTGTAAAGCATTTACTATCTAGCCTTTTGATACTGTACATAGAAGTTCCTCCTTTTCCAGTGATGAAATTTAGTATTAAAAACAGGAAAGTGGACAGAGCAAGATATATCAGAACAATGTTGCATGGGACATTGCAGTTTAACACATTATCCATCCCTACTTCATAAACAGAAGTTTCAGGAGGAAGTTCTGCTCTTATATCTTGATTTTTAAATGATCATTCTGGATCCATAACAGTGATTGTTTAGCGATTACTGTATATGTTTATGATTTAAAATGATGGAACATTAACATTACTCTACACAAAATGTAATATGGCCCAATTAATGTTTTTCCATAATTTTTGCTTTTCAGCTACAGGACAGTTTAAATGTTTGCAAGTGTGAAATGTCACTTAACAGTTACCAAATGTTAGTGTGCTGATCCTAAATTATTTTCTGGCCTCATGCTGCCCAATCTAATGAATTAGACTAATTCTGATCATGAGATCCCAGCAACAGGTTGTTAATGTCACAAAATTCATACCTACAAATCATTTGATTTAAAAAAAAAGAGCAACCCCCAAAACCTAGCACTGTCATTTATTTGGGAGATTGGCACCAACAGTCCCAAACGCTACATTCACATGCTCAAAAAAATAATTTTAAGAGCTGTCAAGTCGTATTACCACTATAAAATACCAGAAACAGCTACTGTTTCCCCTTTATCTCTCCATAAAGATTATTTGTTTTGAATTTGCAGGGTTTATTTATTTCAAAGTTTCTCTATAGTCTATCTTCTATAAAAGCAGCACTCCCAAGAGCATATTTTTATATAGGACTGGAAGGATTATGAAAACTCTGTATTCCTCTGAACATGAATCTCTGCAATCTCTTTTCTACATGGTTTCAATTCAGTTCTAAGAGATTAGAATCTTACGAAGAGTGGGAAGGCACGGCTCTTTAAGTGAGATAATCCCTCTTTGTTCCTATTCTATTATTCTTTTAGGGCCGTGGTCCCCAACACGGTGCCCGCGGGGGCATTTGTATGCGCCTGCCAAGTGCTCTGGGCTGGCCTGGCCCCGGGCACATGGCGCACGGTGAGCGCCGGCCCCGGGAGTGCCGTGGATTGGCCGCCCGTGCTCTGGGCGCGGGGCGCTTG